GGGGTCTGTGGTGCCAGAGGGACAGGGCTCGGGGGGCAAGCTGCCATGCTTGCGTTAGGGGTGGGGGGCACAAGGAAGTCTGCAGGGCATGGAGGGCTGCCAGAGGGGACAGATGGTGGGGGCAGCGGGCCGGCGTGCCGCTGGAAGCTGGAAGGAGGGTTCCCGTGTCTGGGAGGATGTCAGCCAGCCGGCGGGAGCCGGAGCAGGGAGGGGAAAGAGCACTCGGGATCCTTTTGCTGCGATGCTGCGTGCCGTGGCAGCGGAGAGGGATGCAGGCGTCTTTGTAGGGAGAGCAGCACCGAACAGAGACGCCGCCAAGAAGCCGAGCAGGCCCCTGATGCTGATGTTGTCATCTGTGTCTCTGTTCTGTGTTATTTCCAGCTGATTGGTAAAGATGGAAAGAGGGAGAGGAGGAGGAGGAGGAGGAGGAAGGAACCTGGGAGGTTCTGGCCTGCACAGGAGCATTTATTCCCAGTCCCAGCAGCAGTACCATTACCCGGCCTCTTCCCAGGGGGGCTGCATGGAGATCCAGGAGCTGGCCTCCAAGAGGGTGGACATCCAAAAAAAGCGATTTTATCTGGATGTGAAACAGAGCTCCCGGGGCCGCTTCCTGAAGATCGCCGAGGTCTGGATAGGAAGAGGCAGGCAGGACAACATCAGGAAAAGCAAGCTGACCCTCTCCTTGTCCGTGGCCGCCGAGCTGAAGGACTGCCTGGGGGACTTCATCGAGCACTACGCCCACCTGGGCCTGAAAAGCGGCCACGGTCACCGACACGAGCACAGCAATGACAAAGAGCAGCTTCCCCGGAGGAGACAGCAGCACCCTCCGCCTTCGCCTCCGGTGTCTGTGGGCTCTGAAGAGCACCCTCACAGCGTCCTCAAAACGGAGTACATCGAGAGGGACAACAGAAAGTATTACCTGGACCTGAAGGAGAATCAGCGGGGGCGCTTCTTGCGGATTAGACAAACGATGAGTAGGGGACCTGGCATGATGGGATATTTTGGCCACAGCTTGGGACAGGAGCAGACGATCGTCCTTCCGGCACAAGGGATGATCGAGTTCAGGGATGCTTTGGTCCAGCTGATCGAAGAATACGGTGAGGGGGACATAGAGGATCGCAGAGGGGGAGGCGATGAGCCCCCGGAGCTCCCCGAGGGCACCTCCTTCCGGGTGGACAACAAGCGCTTCTACTTCGACGTGGGATCCAACAGGTACGGCATTTTCCTGAAGGTAAGTGAGGTGAGGCCGCCCTACCGTAACACCATCACGGTTCCGTACAAAGCGTGGACGCGGTTTGGGGAAAATTTTATCAAGTACGAAGAAGAGATGAGGAGAATTTACAACAGCCATAAAGAAAAAAGAATGGATGCCAGAGAGGACAGTGGTGAAGAGCAAGAGGGTCTCGAATAGAGTGCATTGGACTGGCCATCTGGCAAAATAAAACAAAACAAAACAAAACAAAACAAGCAGAAATCGGTGAGAGGGACTGACCTGTAGTAATTTCAAGTCCCCCCCCATTTTTTTGTAAAGTCCTTTTCCGGTAGTTCTTGCTAACTCCAGTACGTAATGTCATAGGAGTCTGGTTATCACTTGAAATTATGCCCAAAACATCTCCGTGTGTCTTAGGAAAGTACCAACCTCCCGAGTCCGTATGAGTCAGCCGCTTCGAGTGTTGAAGACTCTGGAAGTACACATATCAGCACAAACAAAAATCCGGCACTCCGACCTTTAAATAGTCTTGTGTTGCACTTCAACGCGATACAAAAAAAAAACCCAACTTCACACCCAAACCTTATGCTGAGATGTATCAGTTTCTGCTTAGGACGGGTTTTCCGGGACTGAATTCTGCCTGTAGTCGGTCAAAAGGCTGAGCAGCGTATCCGTAGGGCGTTGACAGCAGAAGTCATCTTCCCGTGAATTGCTCTTATGTCTATGAGGAGAGGCAGAGGTTTTCAAATTGGCATCTGTTGCTTACTGAGTTTGAAAGGATATTCTGTGTGGGTAACACCTCGCTAACCGGTCAGATTTTTTTAACGTGCTGGTGAAAAGCGGAAGATTTGTTATTCATTTTGTAGTTTTGGGCTGACCGAATAACCCGAATATCCCAGGAAAACAAAGCTTTGCTCGAGTGCTACTGAATGGCAATGGATAATAACCCGCTCCTCATCGACATCTTCTGCCCATGCCAGGCTGATGAATTTTGTTTTTTTCTTTTAATGCATTTGTCCAAAAAAATGTCAAAAGGTATTTTTGTAGGAGGGGTGTTATGGGTTCCAGCTGTGGAGCGGAGGTGGAGAGACGGCCGCGACCGAGGCTCCCAGCTTCTCTCCCAAACGTGAGGTTGATGCGGTCGTGATGTTACCCGTGTGAGGAAAGCGCCCGGGCGTTTTTCTCCTCCCGTGGCGAGAAAGAGCTTTGGGGGGTTTGGTGCACCATTGGATTGGTATAAAAAGGCGTCTCTCGTACTTACCCATCGTGCGTTGCCAAAGCTGTGGTTGACGCCGCGTCGGGTTTTCTGTCGTGTTGATTTTCCAGTTGTTGTTCTTAAGAGATAATATCCGTGCCCTGCCGTCACCCTCTTCCCACCCTCTCAAAGCTGGGCCCATCATCAAGCAAGTCCATTCCTGATCGCCCACCTTGAGGTTTCGGTGTCCTCCCGCTGAAGTCTCTGTCACGTACATTTTACGTCTCGCGATAGAAATTCTCTGCCTGGAGGGAAAAATGTGTACAATTACCTGTTGAGGAGGTTGAGGAAAGACTTGGAACATTCTTTGTCATTACTTAAAAACGGAATATTTACAATATGAGGGGCTTTTCCAGCCTTTGGCTGATCAGCTCGTCTCCCTCTGAAACCAGCGGGAGTTTGAATCAGTTCCAGGTACTTCCCACAACACATTGCCCGCCTTTAAGATTTGGTTTTTTTTATTTGGGAGTTCATGTTACTGCGTCCAATGAGATCTTTATAATGGTTTGAGTTGTTGTTTTTACAGAGTGGCCTAGTGTGCACGTGGACCAGCTATTTCCTCATCTGACCATTACATGGTTCTTTTTTTTAACCTGTTGCGAAATGTCTTTATCTCCAACCGAACCATTCATCATTTTTGGTCAGGACCCACCTGCACGCCGCACGGCCACGCTCGATCCGAATGCAATTTAGTACCTGTTAACATCATTAACCATAAGGAGAAAAGTTGGGGAGGCAGGGGTGGGAACCAAGAGGATAATCTGGACTTGAGTGTGGGTACTAAAACCACTCGATCTGTTTGAACTTTCAAAAAAAAAGGAAAAAAAAAAAAAGAAAAAAATTAAAAAAAAAAATAAAAGCTTGCACCAAAGTCACCAAAGAACCTTTAGGAAAATGTTACGGTTGTGACAGGAAGTAAGAACGTTAATTTCACTGTTTTAGGTGATTCCCCCTTTAGGTAAAACCACTTTTAGCAGTTAGAGCAACCGAGCCTTTGGCTTAGTGTCCAAAACTCCCGTCCGTCTCTGCGCAGATCGCTCTTTCAGGTACTTTTTCAACTCTCGGAGAGATTTTTCTCGCTGCACCACTCATAAACAGCTGGCGGACCACGATGAATCAGCAGGAGGTTCAAAGAGGTACTGGTTCATCTTTGCTCTTAGGGCTTCGGTCCCAATGTTTTTAACAAAACCCACCACCAACAAACCGCAACCAACAAAGATTAAAATAACCCTACATCCCGGTATCGGTGTTAAAACCAGAACTGAGTGAATGAGTCCTTGACGCGTACGTCAGCGTATCGCTGGCTGCTGCTGCTCGTCACAGTGCCTGGAGTCAAAATTCACTTGTGTTCCAACAAACCGGAGCTATGAATGTACAACCTTTTTACGCTCGCCTTCCCCTTCGCGTTTCTACGTGGCGTTCCTCCCCCACGAGCTTGACATCTCCCCCTCCCAGCCTACCCTTGCCTCAAGGGATCGCGAAAGCTCCTACGTTGGAATGAGCCCGAGTTCCCGTGTGTGTTGTAAGTGCTCGCTCCTTCCCTGTGTTCCCGTAGTGTCGGTGAGGAAAATACTTGCGACGGGCAAAGCGATTGGAAAGGGGATGTTTTCTTTACCGTTTTAAAAGGGAAAAAAAAAAAATAAGAAAAGAGACACGAAATGGCTTTCCTTCTTGCTGCCCACTCGCCGTTTTGGCTGGATGCAGCCCGGCTGCATCTTAGTTTGGCTGACAGCAGCGTGCGTTCCAACCGTTTTTTTAAACCCCCCCCCCTTTATCCTGTGTTAACGAATTGGCCTTCCGATGGCATTAGTTTGTTGTAAATATCGGCCAGGAATTTGGTTCTGGCACGCGGGTATCCCGTAGGATCCACGAATGCATTTACTCTCCCCTCTCCCCACCCCTGCCCCCGGCACGGGATGCACCTTAGTATCCGAAATTGGATCGGGATCTTCATGTCCGTAGCCGCCCCACCCGTGGGCGGGTTTCCGCCGCGCTGGAAAGCGCCGACGCTTGCAGCTCTTGCGGTTGGAGGGTGATACGGACTCACTCGAAATGTAGCAATGCAAGACTAGAACGGTGAGATTTGGAAACGGGTTCCTGGTTATTGTTGGCAGCGCCTCTTCAGCTTCCCAGAGCGGCGAGAGGGCGGGCCGCTCGCGCGCAGAAGGGCCCGCGGAGATGCTTGGGAGCGCCGAATCCCCAGTGCGTTTTAAGTGTTTGGTCCTGATGCCCTAAAACTGCCACGTCCCTTAAACTTGAGAAAACACAAGCTTATTTGCACTAGAAAGAACGGCCAAAAACAATCCTTAGGAGGACAGGGTGAAGAGCACCGGTCTGAACCTCTTTTTTTTTTTTTCTCATGAGAGAATTTCCTACGAAAGCCCTCACCTCTGTTTCGAAAATTGTACGGTCCCGGCAGAAAGTCTGTCAGTTCAATAATGAAATCGTAATGCACTTTATATTGTGTAAATAACAGCAGGAGCACGTTTCTGCTCCCGCTCTGGTAGGGGGATGCTTCGATAACGTAGTCTGATGCTGAAAGAAGCCATCTCCTGCATGCACGTGTCTGTCAGAGCCCTATCGTACTTGCTTGATCCAGCTCCGCTCGTATGTTAGAGGAGGACAGGCGCTCCTTTAAGGATCCTCTCAAACCACCGAGAGGGCTTTGGTTTCGTTATTTAAGTTGTGATTTGCAGAGCCGCTGAGCACCCTGAGCTCCACCGTCGCTGCGGCTCCTCGCCCCATCTGCAGATTGGGTCCCCAGCGTTGCTGCCGAGGCTTAAACCCAAGTTTTTCACGTATTGTCTGGAGTTCAGCAGCTCCCTCAGACTTGGCACAAAAGCAGGGATGGTCCCTAAAAGCTTATCCTGGGTGGGAAGGGGCCGCGGGGGCTTCCCTTCCCTTGCAGCCAGGGGATTTGTGTGGAGTCCAGCCCGTCCAGACAGCTTTCTCGGGAAAGTACGGAGGCAGGGGCGTGCTAACAAAGGGTCGGGAAGTGTTTTGCACTGGTGTGGTGAGGGTGACCCGCCGGGCGCTCCGAAAGGGATGGCAAAACCCACCATCGTTGTGGTTTTGTCGCCTCGAGCCTCGCTGACGGACTTTACCCGTCAAGAAGAAGCTGCAGCGGTTCTTGGTAACCTACTCGTCGTCGTTAAGTGTGTCTTATCTGTATCCGATATATACAAACTCATATCCACATGTAGGCATTAATATATTTATGTGAGTATATTGTAGCCTGTAGTAGCTCGTAGCGAAATAATCTTATTTATCACAAGTACGCGGTATAAAGAGGGAGCAGTTTTCTCCCGCTCCCAGTCCGGACAGACGCGTTATTCCACCGAGAGCCGACTGCGTGCTGTTCGTCGCGGCCCTTTTAAGAAGATTTCCGCTTCTAAGCGCTCTCGTCCCTTAGGTTTTCAGCAAGGTTGCAAGTGAAAACGTAGCCATGAGAAGGCAAAACTCTTCCTTGGAGGCGTTGTTGTGGTGAAGCGAGAGCTGGAGGTGAGGAGCAACTGCAGGTACTGCCGGCCACATCGTGTTTCACTGCCATTTCACAGTCCCCTGGCTCTGCAGACCTCTACCACATTCAGAAAAGCTCAAAAAGCTGTCCTTTATACTTAGAAAAAAATAGCAAGCAATTACCAAAAGCAATGTTAGCGTGCTTTTTTTCCCTGCTAAAGACATCCCAGTCTAATGATTGCATCTTTTCTTCTCCCCTGTGACCCACTGAAGTGATCTAAACTCACGGGGAAGGGAGCTGGTAGTGGTCAGGGAGCCTGCTGCTCCCTTGACTTGCAGCCCTTTTATCCAAGCGTGGTAATTTTTATAGCGGAAAAAGGTTTATTACTGGGTCTTTTTAATGGGCAGGAATTAATGAATGAGCAGGTTTAGTTCAGTGGCATCTCATCTACCTTTTGCTGTGCATACAGGATCCACATGCAATTTA